CAGGGCCGGAGGATGCCGCTAATTTTACATGCGCGTTGCCTAAGTAAGTAATCAGCCTTATCGTTCGTGGCGAGTAATAAGCCGCCAACGACGGTATCGCGATCGCCGCTTAAGTAATTCTCTCCCTGAGCGCGACGCGCGTTAAATTTTGTAGTACATGACAAAGCGTGGTAATGGGCCCGGGCGCGCTGCACATTTCGCGGTAACGAACTTCCCTGAGAACCGAATATCCGTGCGGCATACACGCGGCGACGGTGTAATAAAATTATCGTGCAAATAAACAAGTTCGAAAAAGCACTGAGAGGGATCCCGTGAAGCCTCCCATGAAGCCTTACGACGTCTTTTCTTTGTATGGTCGCGCTACTTTTGTTCCAGAGTGATGAATTTCCAATTCGAAATTTTAGCCACATTTTCGACCTGAACTTTCTAATATCTGTATGTGTATATATTCTGTATATTTATATATTCTGAAGAATCAGTACGTATTTAATACACATAACATCCTATTCTTAACGTTTCTAAGGCCGGTATTTATACTCGAATCTTATTTCAACACCGTCTTAAATAATGTATTAAGATGTGAATATGGCTTTGTGATTGGTTCATGACATCTTAAGTACTTAAGATGATCTTAAATATAAGATCGGATTATGAATACAGGTTTAAATTTTATTTGTAAGGTGACCAGATTTCCTAGCCTTGAATTCGGAACATTTCATAAATGAATGTATGAAGCGGAGGGCGGGGGAAAGGGGATAAAAAGATCCGAAAGTTATTTGACAATCATTGAAAATGATGACAAATCGGTGTCCCGAATAGCACTCGAAAATATTCGGGACAAAAAGTGAAAAATTGGGACGTCTGGTCACTTTAGCTGTATGTGCCGAGAAGGGAGGAGATTACTCCGTAATAATGTACTTACGATATGTCCTGATATGACCGCACGTTGTTGTTTTCGGCACTCTAATACTTATTTCCGCAGGAGACTCACAGGACACAAGCGAAAGACGTATAGAATAAGGAGCGTTGTGTCCGTGGCAGTCGCTCGGCATGAAAAGATCGCAGACGCGCGCGCTCTCAGTCACGTACACCAAAAGTTCATTAGCGCGCCAAAAGTACCAAAAGTGCATGAATGTGAACGCCAGTGATGCGAACGAGAAGTCGCGCATCTACAACGACGCGATCTGTACGACACACCACGGCGGACGCCTTAACCATTTGCTCGAGTCAGAGGCTGAGTACAATAAAAGAAACAAGGAATAGGAAATCGAGAATAGAAAACAGTTCAATATTAAAACATGAAACCTAATTCATCAACGCAGAGAAACAGAGGAATAGCGTTATTTCTTGTTTTCAGTATTCCTTATTCCTTTTATTGTAATCAGTCCCTTACTAACTACTTTAGACCAATCGCGTCCGTTTTGCACTACGAGGTTGTCATCGTGGTTATTCAATCTAGGCGTTGGTAATGAATCGTGCGAAATGCTCAATCTTTTCGCGCCAAGCAGCAGCCATAGGCACACATCGATCCACATCGCTCCGCGTTTCTCGCGTCTTTTATCCGTCGAGAGTGAGTCTCGCGCGTTAATAAGTATCGGGAGTGTCGAGAATAGCGATGTGCGATCGCCAGGGCGTATCGTGAAGACGTCATTTGTAAGTAATCTTCTCGTTTCTCCTCGCGGTATATGCGGCCGGTGCTTGTCGCGACGTGTCGCGCCGACGTCCCTTACATTTGCTAATAACATCGACTCGCTCAAGTAGCAATAGAATCGGGCGATCGTCGGATTTATCGGGAATTAGAAATGCGATGATAATCAGAGAGAGAGAGAGAGAGAGAGAGAGAGAGAGAGAGAGAGAGAGAGAGAGAGAGAGAGAGAG